TAAGGAACATAGTGGTTGGGGAGTTTTCGTGCAGAGGGATGCAGCTGACACCTTGGCATTGCAATGGGCATTGATGCTCAATATAGGTACAGTCCTGCAGTCCTGCTGTCGCCATGCCTAAACCCAAGACCATCAAGACCAAGTTGAAGAAGAAATGGGCGAGACTACCAGGAAATAAGGCTGCAGTTCAACAGAAGATGACCCAGTCCAAAAAGGTCGAGAACATTGCCTATGCTCGCACTTCCTCATTCGGGAAAAAGGTGCAAGGTTCCCGGGCAAGGCAAGTTTCGCAGTGCATTCAGGCTGCAGAAAAGCAAGGCATGCAGGTTCACTCGGCAATTGCAGAGGTCATTTCTGGATATGTCAAATACGACCAGCGAGCAACCCTCAAGCAGATCCTGGAGCGCAAACTACCCGGCATGCCAGAGGAGAGGAAACGAACAGTCCATGTGTTTGTGGAGAGTGTCCGTGCTTTGGCGAGGAATGCAATGGTGGGTGAGGAGATCTATAAGCAGAGCAAGAAGAACAACATCAACATCATTCCTCAAGACTATCCGACATTGTTCAGTCACAGTGAGACTCCTACCGGTAATTTTATTCGAAAGTTGATTTGTTCCCTACAAGAACTCGATCGAGACACACTCGTGTGGCGCCTTCAACAAGGTCGGGAGAACAAGGCCAAAACAACAACATTGAGGACTCAGTCAGGCAAGCCCAAAGTGAATGGAATCAAGAGCTACCTCGAGGATCTGCAACCATCCAAGAATGTGCAAAAGAAGATTGTGGCCCTGGGGAAGAAAAGAGATCGGGGTGACTTTGGATGGAGACCCATGGCAAACGAGGTTAGCAAGCTCCTGGGTATGAAGCAGTCCCTGCCACATGAGACTGTCCGTCGAATGTACAATGAGATTCTTAACAAGAAATGAACATGTACAGTCCCCAGTCTTCAGTCTTGCAGTCCCTCGGTGCTGCACCTCCATTGGTTGATGCAGCACTGCAGTCTTCGCACCGGCCACCTGGCCAAGGTTAATGCATCAGAGTCAGCAGATATTCTGAAGCCGCCAATGCCGTGGAACTGCAAAAATGCTCATTAGATCAGTTCATAATGATGATTACAATTCCAGACCCAGACAGATCCCGAAAACCTAGTCCCCCACTACCATAAAAAGCAGAAACCTCAAGCCCTAATTAAACCCTAGGAACATCACCCAGGCTTTTCCGAGTATGAGTGCTGAAACCCTTACATTGGCTGAAACCCTGAACACTAAATTATACCCACCCTCCCGAACAAACCCACTCAGTATAAACGGTCTAGATGTTGACTCCGGATTTTAGATACTGGCAGCAATATGTTCACTTAAAAACCCACACCAAGCACCGGTCCTACCTGCCCATACCTAAAAGCTTAAACCCTACATCCTAAGAACCAGTAAAGACCAACTCATGTGAGCCCCAACTGGCACCCACACCCTCAGCCCTGTATAACCCTGAACCTTAAACTAAACCCGAAATCCCTTGCTCACACCTGCAGGCCACTTCTTGCCGCAGTTCAGCAGGCGCTGCCTCCGGGGTGAGGGCTTACTGGGTGTCTGAAAATTCAGTTAGTAGGGGGTTCAGCCTTAACCCACAAGTAAAAGCAAGATTTTCAGGTTTCATTATGGTTTCTGCTGTGAGAAATAGGGTGATTAAGTTAAGGCAGTAGGAGCATACAAAAGCAATTATTAATTATTAATAATTGAAGACTAAATCGTTTGATCCAGTACTGTAAACCTAATGCAGTACATTTGACCTTCAAATCTAAATCGTGAGGACCGACATCCCTCCAACCTATTAACCCAACATCCCTGAAGCCTATTAAACCTACATCCCTGCATTACTGTCTAACCAAACAACAGTAACAGTGAATACACCCCTTAGATCATTACCACACCAGGGCAAACTTTCTCTAATTTTGTGAGAAGTTATTAACTTAAAAGTAGAACACACCAACAAACAATACATCCTGCAGCTGTGCAATGCTACCTGAGCCCTAAACCCTAAGCCCCTAAACCCTAAACCCCTAAACCCTAAACCCTACACCCTAAACCCTAAATAGCCTAAACCTTGAACCCCTAAAAAACCCTGAATCCTAAACCCCTAAAACCCTAAACCTTAAATACCCTAAACCCTAAAAAAAACCCTAAACCCTAAGCCCCTAAAAAGCCCTCAACCCTAAACCCCTAAAAAACCCTAAGCCCTAAACCCTATATCTTACAACCCACTTGGCCCTTTGCCCCCACATGCCTCGAAGGTTTTGGTGGCAGCAGCGCGGCCGGCGGTTTGGGAACTCCGGCCTGTACCGGGTTCAGGGTGGGGGGGTTCAGGGTGGGGGCCTTAGGGATGTCGAGCTCTTTAGGTTTAGGGTGCTTAGGGTTTTAGAGCATCTATCGGTAGTTCATTGTGCTTTAAGCACAAGGAAGACCCTATTTACCCTAAGCACCATAAGATCCCCGAGATGCTAGAACAATGAAACCCCCCAAAAAAACACACTGACTACTAAGTGCTCAGTAAACCCTAGTCACCCGAAGCCTACTCCAATCCTACCATGTAAAGCTTAGGGTTTAGGGAGTATCGATCTGGTGTGTTTATCAGGGTTTGTTGAGGGGAGGTGGTTGTTTGTCAGTTTTAATTTAAAGTTGGATTGCTGTTGTTTTGAGGTTGCAGGATTCTGCAGGGTTCTGCACAAAGAATGGTTACAGTTATTCTTGTGTTTTGTGCATTGAAGATTTGAAGGACTAGGAGTGTTTGCTTATTATTAAGTGTTTTCATCCACCATACAGAATGGGAACAAGCTTAGCTTGTGTTGTGAATGACAATGATGAGATGTTGTGTTTATAATTGTTTGGTTTTAGTTACCAACCACACAACACAAATGGCTCGATGGGCTCGAAGTCGTCAAGGCTGCAGAATAAGTTGCAGCGTAGTGGTCGCAGCTCTCTTGATGAAGCTCTGCTGCGGGTATGTCAGTGAAGATCCCATCGAGCTTGGACTGGAGGTCCAGCTCTTGCATTGTTGGGGATCCGTCTCCTCAGACTCGTCTTCGTCTACACTGATAGGAGGCTCGGGCTCGTGAACCATCGGCTCTTCGGGAACTTCGGGCCGCATATGGGCGCAGAAGTATTCAGTGTAGGGAAGCCCACGGGTAGTGACGCACACAGTGCTATTCGCTTCCTGCAGCACCACTCGACTCGGTGCCAATCGATGAAAAAAAAACCCTAAGTTTAAACCCCTATGAAGCTTATAAGATCTTAAGACTGCAGGACTGGGGACTGGGAAATGGGCTTACTTTAGGTTCGGTGTGATCGCCACCCAATGACTCTGTCAATTAGTAAGTTAGGACCACTCAGTGTCCATCAATCCAAAGGTATACTAAAAGTAACAGCCCAATGCTCCAGAACCCACAAGCTCTACATCTTGGTCAGAATACTCCGAAATCTTCAAATGCACTAAGAATTATGCTTAAATTAAGGGTTTTAGGGTTTAATGTCTCCCTAATAATTTGCCTCAAAGAAGGGGTTTTAAGGATCTGTCTTGGCAAAGAAATGAAGCTCACTGTCAAAGGGCCTTAAGGGGTTTTAGGGAAGGGAGCCCTGGGTGGTGAAGACTCAGACTGGGGCTTAGAATCACTTCATGAAATTTATTCAGGGTTTTAGAGTCAGTCCAAATTAGAACCTCCAAAACAAAACCCCTAAATCAAAAGCCATCCAGACCTCAACCTAAGAACCCCAATGCACCAATAAGCTTGTGCCTAAAGCCTAATAATTAAGCCTCAGTAAACAACACGAAACCCTAAACCAAAATCACATTAAACTATACCCATCAAAAGCACCCAAAACTCTACTAATCTGAAGAACCCCAGCCAACCGAAAGCTCCTAATTAAATGCTAACAACCTTAATCTTAACCCCTAAGGACTGCACGGACCTGGCCCGGCGCATTGTGGTGGTGGCAGGTGCCCTGCATGCAGGGCTATTTAGGGCTTTAGATTAATAATGGTTGGAGATTTGGGTGTCAAGGGCTTTAGGGCATTAGGGTTTACAGTTTTGATTGATTTTGGTGTCAAGGGCTTTAGGGCATTTAGGGTTTCGGGTTTTAAGGGCTTTAGGGCTTTCAGGATTTTGGTGTTTGGACTGTTTGGGGTTAGGTGTTGACAGAGGTTGCTTGGATGTGGTTGGTTTACAGAGCTTCAGGGTTAGTGTGTTAGGACCTGTGGGACCTGGAGTGTTAGGGCTTCGGGTATCATACTGCCTTTGGGACTTTGGGCCTTCACATAGTTTAGGGCTGGGGGTGGTACTGGGGGGGTGGGGGTTGGGGGGGTAGGGAATTTAGGGTCTGTAGGGATTGTAATTATTGGGGTTTGGGGCCCTTCGGGTTTGGAATGGCTTGGGGCTCGGAGCTTACTACCCTATCCTAATTTAAATCCAGTAATGAAATAAACCCTGCCAAAACCCCTGTAAACCCCGAAGCCCTATTACTAAGCAGGCTCTTTTTGTGCAGCTCCTTTGCAGGGCATCGGCCAAAATGGGAGGCAGGTTGAATTGCATCGAATGTTCCTTCACCTTCATTACTATGTATCAAGATGTGACAATAATTTATTGTTGCCATATTAAAGACATCACTTTAAAATACCATCACATTCGACCTTGTGTAGCCAGGGGTCTTTGCTAACCTCATAGCTCATGGTGTTGCGAGCCATAGGGTCGCAAACTCACTTATCCGATGTGCATATCACTCAGTCGTCCTTCCCCATTGCACAGTGCACCAGTTACTACTGCAAGACTGCAGGACTGTCTGTGAATATTGACATACAGAATCTAATTCCAGCATTCTGCTTGCAAATGGGGACTGAAGACTGAGGACTGTCTAGTACTGTGCGTACTTGACAAATCTCAACAGCTCCTCACGGATCGTCGTGTTGTCCAACTTAGATCGCACTCACAGAGCTTCAACTCCAAACATCATTTAAAATTTGTCAAGCCAAGGTGCTTTGATCAAAGTCAAAGATGGCCTGCGCTGGGAGTGCCGGCCTGGTTCGTGGGTCCTGAGCAAGGTGGGTCTGGGTTGTAACAAAAGAATCACTTAAATTAATTATGTGACTTCGGAATTAGTTAGAAGCGAGGTGCATCTCGAGAATGAAGATCTTGCGCTTTCGAAACTCTGGGGTGGCAACACCGATGCGGTTGCAAGTCCATTTCCCAATTTGCATGTAGGATTTCTGGATTCCAGGAATGGACTGTATGCACCAATTCGGCTTCAGGACTTCGCGCTCGGCATACTCTGGGTTGAACTGCGACTTAGTGGCTTCCAGAATCAGGCTTTATTGGGGGTTTAGAAATCAGGGTTTATTAGGGTTTGAGGGAACTGTCTAACAATAACAAACCGACCATTCATTCTCAAGCAACATTGTCCGCGGGCTGCCAGACATAGTTGTCCCCGATATGAACGTAGCGGCCGTTCTGCTGGCTCCTCGATTGCAATGTCAGGTTAACTAGGTAACTAGTCATCATTCAACTTCAATGTCATTGCATCCTAAAGCTTCCACGGCACCGGACGATCTTCCAAAAGCTGACTGTGCGAATGCCATTGTCGGTATCCGGAGGGGTGTACCTTAGTGTAGGTTTAGGGGTTTAGGGTAGCTTAGGGTTTAGGTAGCTTAAACCCGAAATCCGTACTCATAGCCCTAAACCCCAAACCACAGCCGAAAGACATTGCCCAGATGAAGGTTCCATTAATCGGAAGCCACCATGACCAAAGATCATCAACATCGAAGAAGTCGTCCACTCCTGAGATTCAGTCATGGTTACTAGAAGATCAGATGTAGTACTACTATTACCACCACAATCAAAACCACCACCCCCTAAACCCTGAACCCTTAAAGCATATTGAACCCTAAAGCCACGAGTTAAGGATCCCTTTAAGGCTAGAGCTGGTTTTGGGTTTTAGGGTTTTGGGTTATTGTGATGGAAGACATGAGTGTTCTGTCCTAGTAGTCATAGTAGTAGCAGTAGTAGTACAAGTAGTAGCAGTAGTAGTTGTAGTGGCAGTAGTAGTAGTAGTAGTAGTAGTAGTAGTAGTCCTAGTAGTCGTAGTAGTAGTAGTAGTAGTAGTAGTAGTAGTAGTAGTAGTAGTAGTAGTAGTAGTAGTAGTAGTAGTAGTAGTAGTCCTAGTAGTCGTAGTAGTAGTAGTAGTAGTAGTAGTAGTAGTAGTAGTAGTAGTAGTAGTAGTAGATAGTAGTACCAGTTGGAGTGTGAGTACTAGTACTGCTACCAGTACTAGTAGCTAGTACAAGTGGTCGTAGTAGTGTTGTCTCAGCTAGCAATAGTAGTACGGGCCGGAGTAATAGTAGTAGTAGTAGTAGTTGTTGTTGTTGTTGAAGAAGTAGTAGTAGTAGTAGTAGTAGTAGTAGTAGTAGTAGTAGTAGGTAGTAGTTGTTGTACTAGTATGTAGTATCAGCAGCAGTAGTTGTAGTAGTAGTAGTAGTAGAAGTAGTTGTAATATAGTAGTAGTAGTAGTAGTAGTAGTAGTAGTAGTAGTAGTAGCAGTAGTAGTAATAGTAGGGAAGTAGCAGTAGCTTTAGTGGTAGTAGCAGGGAGTAGATGTTGTTGATGACGAGTCGCGGAAGTCATCCACCTGGGCAGTCAGGACTGCGAACTCCGATGTGCTGTATTCACCACGAGTGTAGTCAGGAACGTAGTCAAACGGACATCTCCAGCGCGCCCAGCCATATCCAAAATACTGGTCCAAGAACTGCGAGACTGTCTCCTGAAGCAGAGTCCACTTGAACAATGTTGCATGAAGCCCTCAGTCCTACAGTCTTGCAGTCATGTATCTCTTCTCGACGGTGGTGCCAGACTGTCTTCGACAGACGTAGGGAAACAGCGGGCCAAGATGAGAGCATCGCACATCAGCATGACGATTTCGGAAACCTGAGGGTACATGTGAAAACTGAAACAATCATTGTGACAAGTGCTTGTCACTTGATTCAGTTAAGCAGCGTGTTTGGTCAAGTTGTAGCTCAACCCCGTAGGGTAGAAGTACTCCTGCTGGCACTGGGAGAAGCCCTCGAAGCCCTTCTGGCAGTAGTGGTACAGCAAGGCCGGGGTGCAGGGGACCTCATTCCTGCCGACTGCCTCAGGATTATCCAGCACTGATGGTGTGTAACATCATTGAAATGCCAACATGACCGATGCAGCAAAGCTTCCTCCAACCAGGCTGCCATTTTGTCCATCTGGACTGGTACCCGAATGAACTCCAGCATGCCTCAGAGAAACTCTTGTCACATCGGACATGCTATTGACATTCCATGCACACACCCTAACTGCCAAGTAACTCTCTGCTTTCATGTTCTTGGGCAGTGAGGAGGGACTGTAGGACTGCAGGACTGTCGCTGCAATGTCCAACCCACCACGGCCTTTGTTTTCAAGTAATCAGCAATGGCTACAACAATCAACAAATGCATTTGCTGTGCAATGTTTTCGTGCCAGCAAGAATCATCTGAGAGCAGATTCTGTCACAGTGGAACCAACCTCCACACTGTAAGTCGCATGACGTGGAACGGCTCGGCCCAGCCAGGAAAACTGCATTGTGGGCTCTGAACGGAACACCCCCGGAATGTCCAAGTGTGTCCTCATCCAAAAGCGAGACAAGGACCGGTGCACCACAACTACATGTCGTCAAACTCAAGAGTACACATAAACACAGTCCTCAAATGGTACTGCAACAACTCCCAGTCGATCAGCGCATCATTCTCCACAGCAGGACCGGGGACTGAGGACTCCCCTCTCTCTGCTGCAAACCCCTCGTGCAATGCCTGCTCTGGGACAGCAGGACTGAGGACTGAAACCTCATCGGGAGCTGTCGGGGTAGCTGGCTCATACCCATACCCACTGCTGCCTGCAGCATTCGACCTGCGGAGTTGCGAGGGTTCTCCACGTGTCTTCATCTCGACCTGGAGTTTGGCCTTGAATGAGTGAGCACTCATCTCCAGTTGTAGCTCGGAGGCATCCCTGGTCAACAGTGTGGTCGCCTGAACAAAGCATGTGTAGCTCCATGTTCGGACTTTCATGTCATGCAATGTGTGCATCTGAAAGATTGTAGGGCCATGACTATGGTGCCACTGGCAATCCCGCTTTCCCCAGTCATGTTCTGCTTGTGCAGAATGAACAGCAACATCTGATGATCACGGAGGTTGAGATATCCGGCGCAATTCCATGCCTCAAACTCTGTGGGTATGGACTGCATGCAACCAAACTACAGTGACACTCAGCTCACTTGACAGCAATCACAACGTATTTCAGAACCCCACCGGTGTAGGCCCATTGACAGTTTCCGTGCGTGCTTGCACAGGACCGTTGGGACTGTTGCCATGGACCGTCCTAAGTATAGTCAGGAATCAAGACTGCTGTAAGTTAACCTTTGCATGCATCACTCCAAGGACCAGCCAAGTTACACAAAGAACGGACCCTTCTCGGACACACCAATCACTGTCTTGATTTTGTAGTCGACAGTCAAATTGGCAATGGAGTCTGACATTGCACACAATGAAAACGAGTCTCCTTGATGTTCTGGAGCCCGAGTCTGCAGCTACTGGAGGTTGTCATGTAGCAGTCAGCAAACAGCAGCAGTGGCAGGAGCTTGCAAGTACAGTAGTGAGTGGCAAGTGGTACTACATGCTGTTGGTGGAATTGTTGTAGCAGCAGCAGTGGCAGTAGCAGTAGCAGTAGCAGTAGCAGTAGCAGTAGCAGTATCAGCAGTAGTAGTAGTAGTAGTAGTCGTCGTAGTAGTAGTTAGTAGTAGTCGTAGTAGTAGTAGTAGTAGTAGTAGTAGTAGTAGTAGTAGTAGTAGTGGTAGTAGTAGTAGTAGTAGTAGCAGCAGCAGCAGCAGTAGTAGTAGTAGTACTAGTAGTACTAGTAGTACTAGTAGTACTAGTAGTACTAGTAGTACTAGTAGTACTAGTAGTAAGAGTAGAAGTAAGAGTAGTAGTAAGAGTACTAGGAGTAGTAGCAGTAGCAGTAGCAGTAAGGAGTAGCAGTAGCAGCAAGGAGTAGCAGTAGCAGTAGCAGTAGCCGAAGTAGTAGTAGTAGTAGTAGTAGTAGTAGTAGTAGTAGTAGTAGTAGTAGTAGTAGTAGTAGTAGTAGTGTCAGTAGTAGTAGTAGTAGTAGTAGTAGTAGTAGTAGTAGCAGAAGTAGAAGTAGTAGTAGTAGCAGCCTATTCTACCCGTATCGCAAACCATGGTTTTCGAGACACCACAAGCTTTGCAAGACATTTGCGATACACCATACAATTCTACTTCAATCCCCCAAAAATCTGAACCCCTAATTTTAATACTAAACCCTGAATTTGAACCGAATAATCCGACCGAGGTCGGGCCTGCGTACCCGGCAGTGAGTGTGGCACAGCAGCCAGTGTCGACGAGGGGCGGTCTATGGCCCCAACAGAAGCTTAAAGCTTCTGCACAGTCCTACAGTCTAGCAGTCCCTTTGGATGCTACAGCAAGACTGAGGACTGCCCTAAACCTCAAACCTTAGGGGTGATTAGGGTTTTGAGCTGTTCGGGTACCGAGCTTGGATGCCTGGTCGGGCATCTCAGCGCCTACAGTAAGGGCTTTAGGGTTGAATTTAATGTATAGTCTGGGTTTAAAGGGCCTTCGGTCCACTGCCGGCTGCGGGCATACCAAGGCTGCCTCGTGATTTTAAATCAACCCTAGGCCCTAGACCTTAAACCCTTTAAACCCTAAGTTAGGGTTCGGGGCATTAGGGGCAACTTAGTTGCATCCTCGCGCTGCTGCCTGGAAGCTTGGGCTGGGGTTGAGCCTTGTCAGGAGTTCGATAATTACATGTTTTAGGTTTGAAAACAAAGTGCATCTTTGTTGATATGTCGGGTCTGAGAACTCTCTGCTAATTCGGGTCGGGGAAGTGTATCTTAGCTGATAATTCGGGCCTGGGTAGTGTTTGATAATTCGGGTCTGGGACTTGGATCTTATCTAAACAACCGGGTCTGAGAAGTGTGTGATAAGGGAAGTATATTTTATTATCTGATAGTTCGGGTTTGAGAGGTGTCTGATATGTGCACCTTCACTGAAAAATAGGGTCTGGGAAGTGCCTCATTATCTCATAGTTCGGGTCTGGGAAGTACATCATGTGTCGCTTAGCCGGTATTTCGGGTCAGAGAAGTGCCCTTACTTGATAAGAGTGGTCTGGGAACTGCACCACTACCGCATTGATTCTAGTATGTCGGGTCTGAGAAATGCACCACTACCTCATAATTCAGGTCTGAGAAATGTAACATTACCTCGTAATTTGGGCTTACATTTGGGGTCTGGGAGTCTGAGAAGACTCTGAGAATCCTTTAAACTTTAGTAGGGTTTTAAGGTTTAGGGTGTAGGGCACAGCAAGACTGAGGACTGCAGTGTCTTGTTGAAGTCTTACCCTATGATCTCGGAAGTTACAGACCTACCATATGCCTGAGAACTAAAGTACTACAGCCCAACCCTATCGTTATTTTCGAAGACCGGAAACCTCAAGAAGCCTGAAATCTGAAGACGAGGCTCAACCCTAAGACCGAAGACGCTGAAGTCCGAATGACACTTGCCCCGGCAGCCCTCCAAACTAAAGGGCTCTCGCCCTAGTACTTAGTGCATAATTTAATATGATCATACTATTATTCTCAGAGCATCATCATGCATGGCACCAGGGTCATCATCAGTATCATGATTAGATTACCATAGCGCGCAGTTGTGCCA